AACATGTTATATATACCCTAGCTTATTCACAATATATATAATCGGCTAGAACAAAAGCTAATAAACAAGCCTCACAATTAACTAACAATGCATAAGACTAAGAACAAAACTCTTGTTTGAAATGCAAATGCTAATAGTGTAGATAGGTGAAAGAACTAATGATTTTGCATTACACAACGAAATTATTTATACTACAAAAATAAAGCTAACAGCCTACTAAACCCAAGGTAACCACAACACCAAAAAGTCAATTGGTCTAGTGCACCAAGTTGTTCCCCATATGGGAGGTTGTGGGTTCGAGCTGAGCCTCAGTGGAGGCGGTATAGACTCTTTCTGCTTCAATAGGTTGAGAAAGTAGATACTGCATTGTAATAGATTATATTCAATAGTATTCAAAAACAACAAAAACGAATTAGACTCAACAAACTACACTACATTGGCCTTGTTTGGTAAAATGGCTGTTAGCTGATTGTGTTAATCAAAGGGTATAAATAGTTGATAACATTAGTTGATTGTAGAAAAGTGTTTGGTAAATTAGTTGTTAGCTGATAGATATTTGGTATAATTTCTTTTCTCAAAAAGCTAATTGAAAAAGTTGTTTGGAGTAGCTTTTTGAATTTTAGCCTTTTGGAGTTGCAAAAAGCTAATTAACCAAACACTTATAGTGATATTTTAACTAAATCAAACAATTAATAGTGGTCAAAGTCAAAATTGGTCTATAGGCCAATTTTTTACCAAACAGGGCATTATCTATTATCAAATAGAACTCTACTCCATATTTGAAACATGGTTATATCATGAATCCATCTCCAATTAGGCAAGGCCTAAGCAACCTATTATAGTTCATTTGGTTCATTATTCGATCCCAAAAGGCAAGGTTGCGCTAATGAGCCAACTTACGCGCACAAGGCTTGCAAACGGGGCACTATATATAATTTCAATAAACTGTCAAATTAGTTTCTTAAGTCACAATTGCAATTTGACCATTCTAAAGTGTGTGGAGTCTTTATTTTAATGGTCGAAACTCGAAAGATGCCAAATCAACCCGTTCTTTAATTAAAGTGTGAACTAGCACACTTAAACTTCTTGAAGCCTTTGAGCTCAAAGCAATATATGCAATCGGCCTTTCCAAACCAAATAAAAACGCCCTTTAGTTCTAATGATGATTTTTCGTATTTTGAAAAACTTGTAAAACTAATTAAATATAGTAATGGCTTGGGAGCTAAATGTACTCTAGATTATTAGAAGACGTGATGAAGGGAAGTTCTAAAAGTATAGAATAACCAAATTGACTTCTACTCTGGCTTATATGAAGAAGATGCTTAAAGAGTTTGATACTTTTGCAATTATATGGTAGCTTTGTATTCACGTTCAACATGCAACTCAAATATCTTTTTTGATAGATTTTTTAAGGATCAAATCTTTGTGAATACAACTTGACTGGTTTATTTGGATATAGTATATATCTTTAAAAAGCATTGAAAGATCTAGATTCTAAAGAATCAAATAGCTTATGGAGTATATAGAGTTTATTATATTATGACTTTTCTGAGGCCTGAAAGTATTGTGCAAAGGGAAAAATATTTAAGTACTTGTGGGTTTCTTTGAGATTAAGAAAAAAAAAAAAAAGACTTACGCCATTTTATCTACATCCTCATGAGTATAATTATTTAAAGAGTAAATACCAATTTTGGTTCCACGAGTATTAGCAAAACGACAGTTTTGGTCCACATATTTAATTTATACCAATTTTCGTCCACAACTATTATTTTAGTACCAATTTTCATCCACGACTATTATTTTAGTACCAAAATTTATCACGCCGGTCACCCCTCCATTAAAGACATGCGCACAGCCAAATGCCACACGGGCGCGTGCAGTGCACACGCCCGTGTGGCGGGTCAGGCACGTTGACAGCGCGCCCGACACAATATATATATTCTTTTAAATAATTATTTTTCTATCCCCTCCCACATTCTCTTTCTTAATTACTCTTACATTCCCCCCTTAATATCCCCAATTGATAATGTTGCTCTTAGAACATAGAATGTTTTTTTTTTTTTTTTTTTTTTTTTGAAAACTTAGAACATAGAATGTTTGTCCTTGACAAATCTTCTGTTGTTACCAAAACTCTTATTGCTTTTGCCTTGAGGACTTCTACTGCAGGCTCTAAAACTCTACTACGAGTAAAGTCTTATTATTCCCACTAAGCCAAAAGCTATAGCTAATAGCGAAAGTACAACTTAATTTATTTATTTATACTTGCGTAGCAGTCATCGTCACATTTTCACAACATGTTTTTAGTGAAATTTCAACCCATGACATGCTCTGATACCAATTGTCAGGATCTATCAAGCGCTTACCATTACACCAAAAATTATAGTTAATAGCAAAGACACAACTTTATTTTCTTATATTTGCATAGCAGTCAACATCACGTTTTGATGTGATCCCCCTTCAGTACTTCTCAACTCTTGTTGTGTCTTCTACTTCTATTACATGTAACTCTTACTATTCTCGAGGTTTTACTATCCTCAAGCTAGTGCGCTACTACTTAACTCTTACTATTGCAATTTGCAAACGTAAAAAATTGTGTCATCTCCCAGGTCTTAGCTTGTTCTTGAGTAACTCTTGTTGCTATAAATTAAACCCTTACTACTTGATGAAATCAACATTATGTCATCACTAAGCTTGTACTCCGTACTACATTGAAGTCTCCCTATTCTTTGATACTTTACAATTTTGCAATGCTACTTGAATTTGATTTATATTATACTAATTAAATATTACAAGGAAAATTTTGAGGATTTATTTTATAACTCTAATTTTACAATGCATAATCAAAATTTATTTAAACATTTATTCCTAACCGTTATAATTCAATTCTTTTCATCTTTCATTCTTATAACCTATTGTTGTAGCCGGGCTAAATTAAGTTTATATATAAATATATAATAAACTCTTTGTTAAAATAAATAACCATATAATATACTATAAGGTGAAAGTAAAGTTGTAAACGCATTAATGTACCATAGAAATAGTCCTCATACTTTTTTTCCCTTCCCATGTTTATATAGTTTTACTGAATGAGAAGTAGTCTATCACATTTTCAACACAGTAATCAAGTAGGCTTGCTTCTGTGTGTTTTTTTTTTTTTTAAATTACAATTAAGTACTCTAGCCAATAGTTTTGCTTCATTGTAGATCATGTCGATAGAAACTCCAACACTGCAAAGATATTTATTTACTTATACCATACAATTATTTAGTCTCAATATTATTGAGCAGGCAATAAAATTTACGGAAATGAATTGAATGAAATTTGGGTTGCAATAATAAGAAAGCTAGGCTAATATATATATATATATATATATATATATATATATATATATGAATGAGTAGATTTATACTCCGTATATTAGTATTCATATTCATGTGGATTTGTGAAAATACCTCTGCAAGAAAGTGGAAGTGGTCCTCTCCCTAGGGTAGTGGGTGTTTTAAACGATTATGAGTTTGGTCCCTCACCTATGTTATGTACTCTTCTTAGCTTTCATTCTATATATATATGTATGTCTCTTTCATGTACCTATCGTTTATATCAACATTACACCATACCCTCATCATTAGTTTTATCTAATTGCAATTTATTTTCTTTCTTGTCTGCATTGCTTTGTACTTGTTACTACTAGAATATTGTGCACATAAGTCATATCAAGAATGTTAGTGGATTTCAAATATAATTTAATAACAAGTTATAAGTTTCATCTTTTTATAGACAGTAAGTCTAGATTGGAATTTACCTACCCTATCTCTAGCTGTCAACTTCTATATATATATATATATATATATTGCCTTGTTATTTTTAGTTTTATAGTTAAATTGAATTGTCTCAAGATTGCATTAAAAAAAAAAATTGTCTCAAGATTTGAATTGAGATTTTATTTTAAAAATCATGAATATAATGATACAATTAGTTATGGAATTGAAATTATTTATATCAAACCAATCCAAGCTATATGAGATCTTAATGTGATTGGCTTTTTGTAGTTGTTATTTTGTTTGGAAAATTAAAATGTGATAATGGCTACTAAATAAGTATAAGAAAATAATGATGCATTTTAGCTACTAGTTATATATAACTTTTGACATGGTATTAAGTACTTCATTTGAAATTTGGTATTGTGTAAGGTAACAATAGTCAAGCATATAAATGCGTATTCATTGAAAGACTAATCAATTCAATTAATGTGATGATTGAATGACTAGAAATCATGTAGTATTTCTCCATCTTAGGCTACATGTTTTTTATGCACCTCTAGATGGCTTAAAACCTCTTGTATTTTTTTTTAACTTACCGATCCATTATAGCCTAAAAATACCTAATTTTGTTCCTAAATATATACCAACTAGCTAGGGTTAGTTTTATTTGAATTTGGAAGGGATTGAAATCCAAAGGTCAAAGTAGCCTAGCTATCTAGGTGATTGGTGGGATGATAATGTGGTTGTTAATCCAATAATCATAATTATATTCTTTGGTGGGGATGAATATAATAATGCATGAATGAGTGATTGAAAATGAAAATTTTGGGAGTAGCTATCTAGTAGCTTAGCTAGGGCAATGAGTTGTGTACTGTTAAGGAAAGAAGTTTAGTTGTGATGCAAAGAAAGTAGCATAAATCCCTAAATGGCAAGGCATGAATCTGTCAACCCCATGTGAATTCATATGAATAATTCAACATGAATGGCTTTTGTAGTTGTCGATAAAGCATTTACGCCAACTTTTCTAAGCCAATGGTCCCCCATGCATGCTCAAATTAAATAATAATCACCTTCTTAATTAATCACCCTCTCATCTCCTCTCCTCTCACACTAACAGTCAAACACCATTATATTTTGGATTCCCAGAAGAGGGAAAAACCCTGCTTTATTTGTTTGTACATAACTGCGCTTATTATTATAAGCATGATCAAATAGTCTGCATGATAGCTCAGCTTCAATTCTCAAGCGTGATAAGATATATATTGACTCCCACATTACATTACACTTATCTTTCTCTCAGATGCCCGGTTCCACGTGGCGGCATTTCCTCCATTGCTTTCATTCTCTCCTTGCCCTTAGCTTCTTCCCAGTGGAGCTTCATTGCTTGGTCTGTACTGTATTTTGGACTCCAGCATCTTTAATTCTCCTCTCATCTCATCTCCCTCACTTTATATGCCCTCCCTCATTATTCATTATATTGTGTGAAATGGAAACCCTATCATCTCTCTCATCTCATCTCATCTACCTTAGCTTAGCTTGGGCGGCTAAGTAATTAGAGACCAAACCCCCCAGGCCAACTTTTCTGCTACTCCATCAGATCAGATCATGTGAGTCTCCAGATCCAAACCCTATTTTTGTTTGACTTGATAGATTATTTGCTCAAATTAAAGTGTAGTGTTTCATATACTACCTACCTAAGTCCTTTTTCTTCAATTCTGTGTCAAGATCCGTTATTAATCTTCTCTGTACCAGATGGGTTATTAAATTTCCAGTGTCGTCTATACTAATCTTCTCTGTATCGGATCCGTTATTAAATTTCCAGTGTCCTATATACTAATCTTTCTCTCTAATGTCCTTGCATATCATATATATGAATCCCTAATTTTACTTCTACCCTTGAATTTGATTTTTTTAATTTAGTACCTTGGGCAATAATTAAATGCCTAACTAGCTATGCCTATATGGATATACTAATTAACATTGAATTTGTATTTGTGCCATACATATAATACAGAATTTGATGTGGAAGAAAGCATGAGAGACATAAGATGATTACAACAGAAGTAGATTTTTCTGCGACAACAAAACCGGAGGAGGGGAACACAAGCAGCGACCATAGAAATGTGAATCTTAATAAGGTTTCTGCTGCTATAGCTGCTACTCCGACATCATCGGCGTGGACGAGGCTGAAGGATCCGAGGATTGTTCGCGTGTCGCGGGCATTCGGCGGGAAAGATCGGCACAGCAAAGTGTGCACCGTCCGAGGATTAAGAGACCGGCGAGTGAGGCTTTCGGTGCCCACTGCTATTCAATTATACGACCTCCAAGATCGGCTGGGCCTAAATCAACCCAGTAAAGTTGTTGATTGGTTGCTTAACGTTGCCAAGAATGAAATCGACGAACTGCCTCCTCTCCAGCTGCCTCCCACCGGAAACTTCAACCCCAATCTTCAACAATGGCTTTGTTCCGCCGCCGCCGCCGCCACCGCCGCCGCCGAATCTCATGGTGTCAAAGAAGGGGTTCCCCTCGAGCCACCCACCAACCACAAGTCGTCTAAAGAGATAGCAGAAGCCGATAATGATGATAGTCAAGATCAACATAATCCCAACAAAATTAATCTGTTGCCCAGATCACATAACTCTTCTTCTTCTTCTTCTCTACCGAATCTGATGATGGGTAATGCAGCGCAGTTCAATTCTTTCCTGAGATGGGATCGTCATCATCATCATCACGGAGGTGTTTCAGAAGATTTCCACAACTTTAATGTTTTGCCATTATCTTCTCCATCTGGATTGCCCCATTCCTTTTTCCACCACCCACAAACCATTATTGGCGGCGGGGAGTTTGAGCCCAGTTCCAGGCAAATCATCAACTTCCAGATGTTGAGTTCCGGTGGTTCGCAGCATCCTTCCCCGGCTTTGCTCCGGCCGCCTCCCATTCACGACTTCACAACCCATTCTCTCAGGCCGTTGCGTTTTCTAGCTCCCCATAACCACACTGGGAGCAACCCAAGTAAAGATCCAGAATGATCGAGTTTCACTCCAGTTCAAATACTACTTGTTCTTTAATTTCTGAGATCATATGTGGGTTGGAAGCAAAATCGTTGTTAGGATAAAGGGTTTATTTTCTTATACCATCACATTTTCCAGAAACAGGATACTGAACCCTTAGCTAGCCCTTCATCGGCCTCTGCCCAACAATCGTCAAGATCATGGCCTTATATTGCATTGTATCTTTGATTTCCAGTTGCTTCAGTTCATGATCAAGCTGCTTCAGGTTACCTTGTTTGACAATTCTGATCTACAAAGCTCATGGCATTCAAATTCCAGTGTCGAAGCAAAGCAGTAAACCTGTAAGATATATGCAACTCCACAGTTCGATATGATAGATGCTGGTAAGATGAAAGCATAACATTATATATATATATATAGATTGCTTTTTTTTTTTGGTGTTAAATTAAAGAAAAGGGTGAAAAGCTTTATTTTATCTTTAGTAATTTATATATTATGTTATGATAATTTGTTTTGGGTGTGAAAATGGTGCATTCTGGTATTAATATAATGCACCATTGTGCATGTTTACAAGAAAAAAATTGTTTCATAAGCTTTAAATTTTGACCTCATTTCTGATCTCAATTTGTGCTGATATGAAAATGCTAAATGTATTTAAAAAAATTTATACAAATTTGCAATGACAGACATAACTTCATTATCCTTTATATTCATCAGTATTAGTAAATTGACAAATTATATAATAAATAATAGAGTAAATGAGTAATATCAGTAAACTTTTAAGTGCACTATGCATTTTCCGTATATGTTCATATGTTACTTTCTTTTCATCAACTTAGATCAGAGCCAATTTGGTCACGTACGTTCTTTTCATTAACTCATATTAGATTTAAGAGAAAAGAAACTTTTAATCCTTTAGTTATAATCAAAGTGTAGATTTTTAGCGATTTAATTATTTAAAGTGTAAATTTAATCTTCTAGTTATTATTAGAGTGGCGAATTTGATTTGTCAAAGGACTAAATTTATAAAGTGGCTAATTTGGTCTCTTAGGTATAAATCTGACGACACTTTAATAATAACTAAAGACTACATTTACATTGCAAATAATTGAAAGACTAGGGGGTGTTTGGCAAATGGTGATTAGTTAATATATAGTTGATAGATGAGTGGTTAACTAGTTTGACCAGCTCATAGTATTAACTGGTTGTAAAAAAAATATGGTAAATTAGCTGTTGTGCTAATTTCTTAACTCGTAAATTACTTTTTTTTATTTGACAGAAAGAAAGAAAAACATTATTGTTGTTGTAATCGCATGGATCATTTTGTCTCTCACTCATGCTCAACTGTACTCTCTCTAGATGGTGTATCAGGAATGGATGTAAGTAGTGAGAGGCTGGATTGTGGACCTTAAATAACCGCATACCATCAATGTGGAGTTATATGTCATTAGGTCTCATATATAAACCCTAACCAACTCCTATCCTAGTCATAAATGAAGTCTAGCTATTAGTGTTGCACCATATAACACACTTAATATTATCATAACGTATTGTAATGTTATAATAATAATTAATAGTTAATAGGAAAATGTTACATATTTAACATGGAATCTGCAAATGGAGCTAAATAAGTTTAAGTATGGTGCAGATTAAAGAAATGCAATATAATGTAGGTAGGGCATTAGATAGAAAGTGAGTTGGAGAAGTGAGTGATAATGCAGTGATGCAGATCAAAAGGAGTAACCGAGTTGTACGAGGAGGCTGTGCTTTAAATTGGGTGAATGGGACAGTTGAGAGGTTTGCAGTAATAATTTTCTGCAGATCCAAAGCAAAAATGCATGCTGAAATGAGGCGATGAGGAAGCAGAAGCAGCATATAAAGTCTAGTGTCACAAAATGAAAAGATAGTTTAGCTGTCATGTGGTCCTCATTTATTCAATGAACAACAGTAATAATAATAGATAGATTTAATTAACTCGGGAGGTCTGAAATTCGAATTAACAAACCTGATAATAAAAGAATAAGGACAATACGGTAAATGACAAAGAAACGAGATAAAAATATAAAAAGACATGGACATGTGTGTATCATAACGGAGATAAAAGATCGTATAAATATGTTATGTAACGCTATTACAATAGGATAGTGTTTAGACAGCGTAGAACATGATGTCCTAATGCGACAATAACTAAGGGGGGTGTATTCAATCATGACTTTAGTATATTTTAAAGACTTTTAAAATGATAGATTTTAATAAACTTCGATTGACTTTCATAGAGTAGTTCAAAACTTTTTAAAACTTTATAAAACTCTATATAAAAAATATTCATAGACTTTTATCGACTTTTTATTTTAAAAAGTCTACAAAAGTCATTGAAATTCTAAATTGAATACATCCTTACAAACTTTCGATGATTTTGATTCTTATCATTTATAATTTTCTTACAAAATATTTATAATATATTATAAAATTCTTCTTATTATATAGTTCTTCACCCACATCAACATTCTCAACATTATTATTTTTATCCATAGTATGTTGAGACTTATATGCTAACTACTTATATATATTATTAATAAACATCAACAAAAAAAAAACTATTTCATTAGAAATTCATAATAATATTGAACAATAAAATTTATAATAAAATAATTGATCAAATAAAATATTTAAAAATATAATTACAAGTTGCATAAAATTTAAATAAAAATCTAATATTAATAATATATAAAAAAAAATTATACTTGATATATTGCTAAGCATCACACATAGAACTATTATTTGCAATAGCAATTTTACACTGTGAACAACAACAAGGTGCTACTGTTTGCAATCCCAAATTGTTGTTGCGAACAGTAGTTCGCTATTCGTAGTAACTTATTGTTAAAATATATATATATATATATATATATATATATATATATATATATATATATATATATATTACGAATATAAACATAAAAGAAAAAAATCAAAATATATAAGTATTTGTATGAATATTATGAAACATATACTAAAATTTAACGATAGAAAAATTTGCTTTGTTCTTGTATTTAGGGAGAATTAGAGAAAGTTAGGGATAAAAAATTCATAGAAAAAAATAAAAATCAATATAAACTAGCAATAATGAAGTAAAAATAATATTATTTCGAATTTAGAGATGAAGATTATAAAGTTTAGGAGAGAGAGAAAAATTGGTAGAGTTTAGGTATGAGGAAAATATAGGATAATGAAGAAAATATAATTTTATTGAATTTAAATAGGTTTATAAAGTTTAAATAGGGAGAGAAAATAGAGTTTAAATAGAGAGAGAAAATATTCAAAGTTGTTAGAAAATTTTTTTTTGAAATCTTGGGGTGGATGGTTGGATTTCAACTATTTATATTTGAGAAGGAAAAGTCTCCAAAAGTCTTAAAATTAAAAAGTCTACAAAAGTTCATAACTTTTTTAATACCACATGACTTTTAAAGACTCTTTAAAAGTCTTAATCGAATACCACACGACTTTTAAATAATCTTTAAAAATCTTGATTGAATATAGCCTGACTTTTAAAGACTCTCTAAAAGTTTGAATTGAATACCTCCAAACTTTTAAAGTTTATAAAAGTCTTTAAAATTCTATGAAAGTCATGATTGAATACACCCCCCTAAGACTTTTATACTAGGCTACTAGCAAAATTCCGTAATCGCCCCCTGAAGAGGGGGAAACGGTTATAAAAACTTTTGACCGCGCCCGGGCCCCGGGTTGGCCGGCCAAGGCCTCGCCCAGGGTTCGACCGAGGCCCAAGCCGAGCACCTCGGCCATGGCCTAGGCGGCCCAGGTCAAGCACGGGACTTGACCCCAGGGCCCCGAGTCTTTATTGCTTCACTTCTTAAGTCGACTTGCTCCACTTACAATATATTCATCAATAATAATAGTTGAAGAAAAAGAAGAGAAACATCATACATTATTATTAGGGTTTGGATTTTGGAAGATAGATGTCTTTTTTTATCTGACCTGCATGCGTACGTAAGAAAGGAATACGAGGCCTAGATAGGGACCAAATGCGGCTAGTTTGCCCTTTAAGCCAAAATATACTTCTTCTAGGGTAGTAGGGTTGCTAAAAGCTAAAAACGTATGCAATATAAAGTTTTTTAATTGTTAAATAATGTCAAATCAATTTTTTTTTATATAGTTTTTAAAAAGATGATTTATAAAGTTGTGAACTTAGAACTTAGGGAGTATTTAATTCGGAGGTTGTGATTGAGTGGAAATGACTCATTCATCTTTAATTAAAGGTTAAGGATTCAATCTTTGACTTTAAGAATTTTGAGCAACTTTAAATCGCGAGGGAATTAATCATTGTCTTTGACGGTAAAAATCCTGGGTATATCCAAAAAAAACTTAGGGAGTATTTATTTATGAGGATTAAAATAAACTTTTAAATTTGTAATAATTATATAATAAATATAATCAAAATATTAATAATCACAATCATCGCTCCAATGAAATTTAAACACTTAATCTATTGTTGTTTAACAAAGACTATTTACTACCATTTTACTACATATACATGCATTTTGTCATTTTATCACAAAGTCTATTTAAGTACCATTATAACAAGTAAATTTGTAATATTTTAATTTATTCTAGTCTGCAATATTCTAACAATTGCCATTTTTATATTTTGTATATATTAAAATGCATATTAAATTACTTATTAGTTTATTAACAAATATTAACATTAATAAAATTTTATTTATGTATTGCAAATGTTAATTTATTTTATTTGAATAAATTAAGTCACGTGTATTTTAATTAAAATTTAAAAATTTTAATTGTTAAAAAATTAAAATTTTGAATAAATTGAAATATTAAAATTTAATCTTCATTATTAATTTTTATTTACATAAAATTAAATTATTTTTATATCAATATATTCGTTTTCCTATGAAACTTCTTACAAATAAAATTTTCTACAAATCTCATATTAATGTAATATACTGGTGGTAAAAATAATTAATTTAAACACAAAAATAATAAATACTAAACCCCTAAATAGTAAAAAGTGGACCCGAAACCAAACTAAAAAAATTAAATCTATGATTCTAAAATGTGAACCCTAAGTGTATTGTATTGCACTTTCACTGCACATAAAATGCACTTTATAGTATCTTTGGATACACTTTATAATATTGTTGGGTATGCTTTATAATATTGCTAAGTGATAAAGGTAATACTAAACTCTAAAGTGAACTTCTAAGACACTTAAAAAACTAAACATTAAACCAAACAAATAATAATAATAATAATAACAATAATTATAATTATAATTATAATTATAATAATAAACTCTATAAGATGAACCATTTTCACAGCATCTTCACATATCATGCAATGTACTCTATTGTTTTACTAAGTACACTCCATAATGTTGCTAAATGCACTTAAAGTTTAATTTGTGTTATTTAAGAAATGTCACTGTGTTTTTACCATCTATCCTTACTTTAAAGTTGTTAGATCTTCTTAAATTGACGGTTATTATTGGTTCCTAATTCTCTCTTAAAAACTAGGTTTCTATTTGATCCAAATATATGAGCAAATTTTTTATGCGAACCATGCTTCTCGTGGGAACTGTGAACATGCATCGCGTAAAAACTATAGGTGAAATCGTTGATGATATGGAAATGTGCACTCAAAACTAGATTTTACTAGTGCATCGTGAGACGAACACTACAAGTGTAACCGTTGATACATAAAACTATAAGAATGTATTGCATGGCCTATTGAGAACACTATAAGAGTGTTATGGAAACTAAAAATGTAATTCATAACTGAAAAGATATGCAAGTAATTGCAGACTTAATTAGCTTGCGGGCTAGTTCTCTGTATTGGCAAAAGTAAGACCAAGAAAACTTTGCATTTTTAAAATGGCAATTCACTTGTAGTTTCATGTTTAATTAGGGCCGCCTCCCGGCAAGAATTTGATCTTTTGGTTGCTTGAGGACGTGTTTGTGCAATTTAAAATTTTTTAGCTCCCGGCGAGGATCGAACTCGCGACCTTTCGCTTACGAAGCGAACGCACTACCACTATGCTACGGAAGCAATTGACATGTAATCAGATTTTTTCTTGTCTAAATGATGGACCTCATGTCCAGGTAGGTTATGCCCACTTGAACTTGTGATTTTCAAACTTTGCCAAGGATGTGAATGCCAGCCTATTTAGGTTGTAAGATTTATTGGGCAGACTCAAATTAAAGTATTTTTTTGACATTTTCAAATTAACATTCTAAACTTTCAATTTTGCTAAACTAGTGCATTTACAGTAATAAATACAGAGTATAAACTTATACATCATTCAATCAATTTAAACCTCAAATTAATTTTATTTTTGGTCCCACGATTTTAGAGCTCTTATCACTTTTGATGCACAACTTTAAATTTTTTAAATTTTGGTTCCTAACTTTGTTATTTTTATCAAGTTTGGTCCTTCCGGTCAAATTGACAGTGAAATATTACCGAATTTTATATTTTAGGGGAAAAACTGTCATCCCAAGGAAAGATCTTCAATATCTAAACAAAAAAAAAAATCACATTAAGAGAAAAAGAAGAGTTTACCAATCGTTGACGCTATAAATCTCATAGATCTGTATCTAGTTTCTGCCCGTCTTCTCCATTATTCTCATCTATCAATCACCTATAGATATGATTTTATAGTAATTTTGTTTAGACATTGAAGATGTTTTCTTGGGATGACGATTTTATCCATAAAAATATAAAATTCGGTAACATTTTGCCGTTAATTTAGCTGAAAGGACCAAAACTAATAAAAATAAGAAGTTAGGCACCAAAATTGAAAAATTTTAAAGTTGTGCACGAAAAGTGATAAAACTTCAAAAGTCGTGAGACCAAAAGTGAAAAGGTGAATTAATTTCACTTTTGGTCCCACGACTTTTGAAAGTGAAATTAATTCTTTAAACCTCTATTTTCAAATTTTAACTAAAAATAATTAATATATTTACACTATAATATAATAATTATAATAAATTTTATTATTTTTCGTTATTTATTTTCATAAAAGTATTTTATTTTGTAATAAATTTATGAAAATTTTATTTGAAAATTTAATAAAAATTATTAAAGATGGACTTATATATAAATTCTCTATATGTTTTGCTCAACGTTATTTGTGAACACAAATAATAGCCTTAAGTGTGAAGACTCTCGCCAACGGCCTTGTGCTCGAGCAGCATAGCTGTGGCTCATCAAATTAAACGAGTGGTCTCATATTCAAACCCTAGTGTAGGAGCATTAGCATTAGCTCTTTGTGTTTCGGTAGGTTGAGAAAAATACATATGAACATATATTACATTATAATAGATAATAGTAGACTCTCAAGCTAGCCCATTCGGGCAATCAAGCTTATCGATTTTGGGCTAATATTTTTTTTTTTAAATCCTAATCTTAATTTTTTTTGGACTTTTCAGCTCAATCCATCGATTTTAGACTAAAATTGACATCCATAATGATTGTTTGGCATTCTATACTGGATCAAATTTAAAACATGCACACTTGAATCTAAGAATGGACATATCTGCTACTTTGAATGCTAAAAAAAAAAACTATATTCTGATTGAATTTCTTTCGCTTGGGAGGCGTCTCTATCTTTATAATTCCATAAATGCATTAGAAAGTATGAGTGCAGGATGCTAAGATTTAGATAATACACCCCAGAAGATTTGATAATTATGTACAATGTTATACAAGCTCCCAGTGAGGATTGAACTCACAACCTTTCGCTTACGAAGCGAACGCACTACCACTATGCTATGGAAGCATTTGACATGTAGTCAGATTTTTACTTTTGATGCCGAGGTTATACCAATCGTTATATCCTACACCACGGCGCACATAGCACTGTGCATCGCGCGCCTCCCAAAACGACGTCGTTTTGGGATAGTGTTGGGAGGCGCGGTAGAAAGTTGCTGAGATTATGTGTATTTGTTTACAACGTTATGTGTATTTGTTCACAACGTTATGTGTATTGGTTCATACAGTTATGTGTATTTTTTATACAATTATGTACATTCTTTTTATACAATTATGTACATCCGAATCAGAAACTTTGTGTGTATTATGTTAAGAGTTGATGTGTATTATGTTAAAAGTTTATGTTTATTATGTATTATGTTAGATTATGTGTATTATCTTTTAAAAAGAGTATGTATATTTTGTTATATAATTATGTACATTCATGTATAACATTATGTGTATTCTAGTATAACATTATGTACATTCTTGAACAGCGGGTTTTTTTTAAAGAAAAAACTACTGTCATTCATTGGGGCGGGAAATTTCAAAAAAAAAAATAATTAAAACGACGTCGTTTTGCATCTGGGCGCATAGTGCAACGCGCGCCGTGGTGTAGGATATAAATCGCCGGGTTATACCCACTTGAACTTGTGACTTTGGAAGTTACAATTGCTAAGGATGTCAATCAGGTAAGCCCATTTGGTTTAGGCTAATCGATTTTTTTTTTTTTCAGACGAGTTTAAAATTTTTAGCCCTAATCCTAAAATCTCGAGTTGTAAGATTTATTGGGTAGGTTCAAAGTCTCTTCTGACATTTTCAAATTAACATTCTAAACTTTCAATTTTAATAAAGTAGTGCATTTTTTACACTATTAAATATAAACTTATACATCATTCAATCAATTTAAATCTCTATTTCCAAACTCTAACTAAAAATAATATATTAATATATTTACACTATAATATACTCCGTAATAATTTTTTTATCTTTCGTTATTTATTTTCATCAGTGTTGCAAAAATCCCGCCTAGACACCGATTAATCGGCGCTAGGTGTTGGCCGGCGGCTTAGCGTATCACCATAATCGGTGGTCTAGGCGGCTGGCCGCCTAGGCCTCCTACGTAGGCCTCCTAGGCACCGACTAGGTCGGCCGATTAGTTATTGTTCCCTTCTTTTTTAAATGAGTTATTTCACTCAAAACGACATCGTGTTTTGAGCGAAATAACGCTAAATTGTTCAAACTCTATATGTTTTTTAGATTAATATTTAATATTTTAGTATTAACTATTAAAGTATTAAATAGGTTATAATTATCAAGTCTTAAAAAATTTAAAACTGTTAAACAAATTTTTAGAAAATAAAATAAAAAATACACATGCCTCTAGGCGCCCCCGAGCGCCCGAGGAGCATCTAGCGATTTTTTCAACCATGATTTTCATAAAAGTATTTTATTTCATAATATATTTGTTAACATTTTATTTAGTGTTAATTCCAGCAATGGTCCTCCGACTATACTGATTTTCCAAAATTAGTCCTCGACTTTTAATAACGGAGAAAGTCGTATTTCTCCCTTCGTATTTCGCTGTTATACCTTGTAAACATCTCAATAACGGAGAAACGCACACATGAGCAGTCAATAAATGGGAACGGTGAGGAACATTCTAGGACTTTGACTGAGATTATCTTCATATATATCGCTTATACAATGAAGAAATATGAAGAATAATACATAGGCAGGTGAAAGGACGAGTTTACCCTTTCATTTAAAGTTCAATTAATTGTATTATGATGAAAGGACCTCAATTGGAAAGAAATTTAATGTCAAGGGACCTAAAGTGTCCAAATTAAAAGTCGGGGTCTAATTTTGAAAAATCAATATAGTCGGAGGACCATTGCTGGAATTAACTCTTTATAAAATTTAATAAAAATTACTAAAGATAGCTTACATATAAATTTCCTATATATTTTGTTCAATGTTACTTGTGAACACAAATAATAGCCTATCAAGCTAGCCTATTCGGGCAATCAAGCTTATTGATTTTGAACTTATTTGACTAATATTTTTCACCTAATCTTAAAAAATTTTGGACTTATCGGGTCAATCCATCTGTTTCAGACTAAAATTGACATCCATAATGATTGCTACTGGGTGAGATTGAAAACATGCACACTTGAACCTCTTTAATTATTGTTAAGAATGGACATATCTGCTACTTGGAATGCTAAAAAACTATATTTTGATTGAATTTCTTTTGCTTGGGAGTCAAATATGTGATGACAACATATGGAAATGGTACATGTATAACTAAAGAAGCATTAGAAAGTATGAGTGCAGGATGCTATGACTTAGATAAACCCCAGAATTGAAGATTGAAGCCACTACTACTGTGTGAATAGTTGCCTACAATGCCCCCTTGATCTCTCTTCACCATCACCTCTAATCACCTCAGTAACCAGGTCCTTGAAGATTAGGCGCTCAATGCTCAGTGCTAATGCTGGAATCTCACTATCATCTCCTCCCCAATCATCTGCAGATTCATGTTTCATATCTGCAGTTAAGATGCTAACCAGTTCATCATCATCCTCAATGCCCAGCCTGCAGCTGTTTGATTTAGGCTGGAGATAGTCTATCTCTGCGTATAATTCCTTCAAAAGCTGCTCTCCACTCAAACATCTCCTCCTGGGAATTAAAGATCCTTTCAGATGTAGCTTGTGGGCAAGAATTTCATTCACTGTGTCGAATATAAGTTTTCTGTGCATTTTCTGATCAAACTGCAGTGGGTTCTTGTCTGTGGGTCCTTCGGTTTGCTCTAGAACATGGAATAACTCTGGGTTTATCAGATGGAGCTCAGTTGTTGAGACACAACCTAAATCTTTGAGGATGTTTGATGCCAGTACAACCTTGTTGATGTAGTGATGGTCAAAGTTGTCACTCTGGCACTTCCATGCAATTTGGTTAATGGAATCTTCATGATCAGGATCAGTGTTTAGTATGCTGAACTTATGAACCAGATTGTATTCGGAGCCGAGAATTCTTGTGCTGCAGTCTAAATCGTCTGTGTGCCATTCTGCTTCATTAGCATCTGTTAAGGTGACAAATAGCACAAGAAATGGTGAATCTTGTATGTAGAGATGGTGTTTTTGCAAGGAAGTATTGAATTGGTACCTCTAAACGGTGATGATATCTTTTTGACAGGAGATGGTGAGTCCTCGATGTAGAAAGCAGCATCGAGCACGGAGACAGGGCTTGGTTGTTCGATTGGGGCCACTGAGACCAAGCAATCGTTTCGTTCTGATTGCACTGAAGCCGTGTGGTTGCCTTTCTCACTGCTCGTCTCGCTCGTTTGGTCATCATCATACTGGAGATTGTTAGGTTTCGGTTTATGTCTCCTGTGTGGTGGACCTGGTTTGGGCTGCTTATTTTGATGCCTTCTGAGCTTGTCTTTTCCTTGCTTTTTGTCTTGTAATCTTGGACTTAAAGCTCCTGGGCTTCTCACATGGATATGATTGTGTTCTTGAACTGATTTTGATGTTCTTCCATTGGTCTTCTTCTCTGCAGAAGGAACAGGAACACCCCGACTAGGCTCCTTGACGTTGTTTCTCTTAGGTCCCAATTTCGCTCGCCCTTTGTCAATGGAACCTGCAACCCTTTTGGGGTTACCATTATGGTTGTCCGGTTTTGGTATTGGAATGGAAGAATTGAACTTCTTGGTAAGGTAAGTCTCCCATTTGGTAGAAGATGGGTGGTTCGGTTTTTGGCACTCTAATCTTGGTTTTGTCCTGTGCATCGCTTCGAGTATTTGCTTGAGTGCTCTGAGATCCTTACCAGATTTCTTGAACTCAAGTTCAGTTACCCTTTTCTCAATTTCGCCAAAAACAGTGGAGGGCACCTTATTACTTGAATTTGGGGTTGATTTTAAGGTTGAAGTTGCAGGTCTCAATTGCAGATTGCCAGAATCCTTTTGAAAAACCTGTTGAGTTTGTCTTGAAGACATTGAAATGGAATGTTCATCTGGGAAGAAACCTTCCAAGCCCATCAGCTTTGCCACCACGCTGGACGATCGTTTATGATGACAGCCTGAATCTTGGTCTGCAGAGCTCTTAATGGACCTTAAGCCACTGTCTAATGATAGCCTTGGGGTGTCTCTTAGCTTCATGGTTGCCTTGAGCCTCTCTCGCGATTCCATCCCGTCACAGGAGAAGCGAGGAGGGTTCCTCTCGGGCTGCTTCAAGGGCCTTGGGGAATCAATGTGCTTCAGTAGATGGATCTTGCCCTCTACTTTGGCCACAGATTTGATTGATACGCTTCGCGCCTCCCGGTGCATTGATTCCTTCACTACATCTTGGATATCAGGTGATGATTGCCTGCCCAAATGCAGTGACTTCTTGGGTGTTTCAGGAAAATCAGATGGGGATTCCAGCTGAGGAGTTCTGTATCTGCTAAGTGATGAGAGGTTTGATGGAGTTGGAGATGATGGGTATATCTTGGATGATTGGTCAGATGCCATTTGTTTCCCTTTCAACCCCTCATGCACGCTCTTCTCCTGCATTTCCCAACCAAACATATATGTTAGTCCACAATTCTACATTTTAAAGTTGTGCGGTCTGAGCTAAGTTGGTCAGGCTGTCGGCGTCATAACCAGAACGTTACAAGTTCGGGCCTATTGACCTTTTTAGTTTGAGTCGGTCAGTTATGGACACTCCTTGTGATCAGCTAGGGTCACAGAGTGGAATTTACCCCGTACATACTTTTAGGTAGTGAGTGTGGATTTTCATCGTCTCACCTTCTTTGTTTTTGTCACACTTCTGGGCTCCATATTGTGGTGGGCACCTTGATATTACAGGAAAAATAAGGAGATAAATTAGTAAGTAGTAACTATGGTGGTTTCTTATGAGTTATGATCAGAAAAACGCATGGGCATTGTAGACCAAAAAGGCAAAAAAGTGAAGAATGCAAAAAGGTTCTTTTTCTTTTTCATGGGAATAATGGTGTGGATTGCCCATATGCACTTGTCAAATTTCTCTTGCAATGAACAGCTATGCACCAAACTTTATTGTTCTTCTTTTAGTACATCCCAAGAAAATTGAATTAAACATATATATACGAATATCTACTTAAATTCATATGATTAAATCGCTAGATTATAAGATTTTTATAACAGGTTAGAGAAAAAACCTTAATTGGATTTTGCAAAACAATGAATCCTTCCAAGTTCCAATAACTATGCCTTCTCAATCATTTAATTTGAGTCTCATTAACTCATTTTAATAGACTTAGAGTATTTGCGAAATTCCTCGCCCCTAAAACCTTTACACACCCCGGCCGGATGTGATAGTAAAAGGGACCTCAATCACAGTGACTCAGCCCCCTATAGGATGATGGATGCTTGGTACTCACAAGGTGTCCACCACATTGGATGTAATTCCCACATTGTGACTGTCATGACTTGATCATGTGTCATTAGCCATAATTTATCACTCAGAAATTAACAGAACTGAACTATCCGTGTAGACTGTGGACTAGATAGACTTAAGGTCCGTTTGAAAAGTAGGAAAATGAGTTATTTAATTTTCTAGAAAACATTTTCATTTTCAGTGTTTGGTTGCATTCTGTCAAACTGTCTTGAAGTGTTTGGTTTATTTTCTGAAAAATGAGTAGAATTGTATGATTAAACATTTTAAATATTTTATTTAGAATATAAAAATATTTATAATAATATTAAAAATAATATCATTTATCAAAAATTTAAGAAAAAAAAAAACTAGTTTCCATTGGAAACCATGTTTTGAGTGTTGGCGGAAAATGACTTCCATCAAATTTTGACGGAAGTTATTTTCCGCCAAAATGCCTACATTCACCCGTCAACTGAAAATATAATGTTTTCCCTTAATTGAATTTTTCTATTGCATCCAAACACTTGATAGAGTTAATGGCTCCAATTCATCAAATTAAATAGAATAAATTACAATTAAAATGTTGCACCATTTTAACCGTACCATAAAAATTTCAACTAAAGGACTAGGAGTTTGGTGAGAACAATATGATTCTCAACGAACCCCACCGGCCACCACTCTAGCTAACTACTCTTCCAGCGCCGGGGAGCCTTAGCCAGTTGGTGCAACTCATTTAATTATATTGTTTAACTAAGATCTATACTATATACTATACTAGTTGCCTAAACAAAATAAAACATATATACATACCTTTAGTGAGCAGCTTTTTGTTAGTGTGGCCGGCAACTCGCCGGCCGATAAGGAAGTGGTGGCGGTCCAACAGCTGAAATATCCCCGTCATGCACCCAACCTGCTTGCTGCGCATGTCCGCCCGCTCCTCCGTAAGAGAAGATAGTATCCTCGCAGACATTTTTTCCGGCGACACCACAAACTCGATCAACCCCGGCCAGGCCTTTACACAAATAAAGAAGGCCGGGACAGAACAGAAAGCAAGAATATAATATAATGCTCACTAGCTCACAAATCACAATGGGTGCAGGATTATTTTAGGAATAAAGTAGAAAGAAGCTAGCTTTCTTGGGTTCCGAGATTATGCAACGGCTCTGATCTTGGAGTGTTAGCTGCGGCCACAAGGAATGTCAGGCCGGCCGGTATGAATCCAAGCAATATCATTATTTCTGCCACCAACTTCTATGCTTCGCTTCATTCCTAGCTTTGAGTATAATGCAGAGAAGATCAGATCAGCTGATATATATGATTTGTGTATGCAATGTGCGATATATTATATATATATGATGTTCATTATATATGTTTGTAAATGGCAAATCCCCAGACCCAAGAAGATGAGAGTAGTTGTTGTTTGGGGTCTTCTGATCTCTTACACAAAATTAAAGAAAGGGAAAGAGGGAGTGTCTTTTGGCACTTTCAACCAAGGAAAAGCTGCTGGCTAATATAAGATCGAGAGGCTACCGGTCATGAAAACTTTAAGAGGCGGGAATTTAGTCTTTCTGTAAAAATACTTACTTAATTACAACTAGGCACCCAATTCAATGCATATACTATATTAGTATTACTTTATTATAAGGGTACCCCTAGGCCCTAACCTTCTTTGACTGGGAAGACAGTTTTGACAACAAGCTAAGGGGCTGGGGTATAGTACTATAAACACATAAAAATGTTTAATTTGGTCTAATTATCTGTTTAGATTTTTAGTTGAATCAGATCAATATTTTTTAAGTTGGTATTAGATCAGATCAGAGTCGATTTTATACACAAAGCCTCCTTGATCTGCATCTGATAGTACATGTTGAGCATATATCCTAAATGCGATGTCTGATTATCAATTTAGTAGTTTAATTGAGATGGAACATAACCTTCATCAATTGGTAAGAACAAGTTGAATCAAAAAATAAATAAAATAAAACTATTTGCACTCAATCAATAAAGTGTTTTGTATTTATCAAGATAACAAGCATGCATGTGACATTATTCTTACATAAATTTGCATGAACACAAAAGTAGTGTTTACTATTCATAACAATAAGTTGACATAAGTAGTATGTATAAATTTTTATGTGAGAGTAATTTTGTATAAGATATCTTAGTAGATTTCATATATTTTGTTATTTAGAGGCTTATTATAGTTATCTTGCCCTAAATAGTGCCTATTGGGACTTATTGTAGTTATATTGTCCCAAACACTACCTACTAGACTAGTGAATTAAGCACATGAAGGTGCTTAATGTAGTTATCTATTATACTGTGAAGCTATTCGATCATTCTTGAATTTGTACTTAAGGGCAACCTCAATATATAGGAGTATGTTTTTTGTGATTTTTGAGATGCCAGTTAGGATATAGATGAGGAAGAGAGAAGAATGAAATAAAGAAAAAGAAAAAAGAAAAAGAAATAGGTCTAACGCAAAGTACATAACACGCCTTGTTGGGAGTTGTATGTGCGCGAAACGCTCCCGTCTACACTTCTTTTATTCACTTTCTCAAAAAATTAATGTGTTACACGCAGTTCCAAATCTTCTCACTCTTTCAAGTTTTGTTCTCCTTAAAAATTGAATATAAATCACTATTGTGGTTGCTTTTATTGAGTGAATAAGTTAATGGATTATTGTGATGAGTATGATGAAAAGAAAAGACTGGCAGATCTGGTGGTGGGAGGGACTGTATGTGATGTGTCATTTTGTGAATTGCACTTTAATTTCTTGGTGTGGACAAAATAATAATGTGTGGGTGCACCCCCGTGGAGGTCTCTCATTTTCTTTCTTTGACATGAGCATGTGGAATTTGTCAGGTAGAGGTTAGAAAGTGGATTATTGTACTGCCAATAATGACCTCCATACTCCATACTCTATTCCCCTTTTTCAACTACAATATGATGAGTTAATTTTTATAAAAATAAAATTTTCCTTTTATTAGATGAATGTAATTTAATGCCCCAAGAAAATTACCAGACTTGGTTAATTAAAGATTTGTAACAGCTGTACATAAAATAATAAATAGCAGTATATATATAAGTAGGAGCATGTGTAAGTTGCAAGCATTGTGTGTTCACTTTCTGCGTCACGTTGATGAATGATGATGCACCCACATTAAGAAATTAAAGATTGTTCACTAAAAAGTGGACTTTTTTTTTTTTTTTTTTTTTTTTGTGTGTCTCAATTCTCCATGTAAATAAATTAAACAATAAATAATACCTAAGGAAGTTTTTGTATAATAAGTTGTATTCATCGTGTATTAGATACAACATATTAATTTGAACTTAATTTATGAAATTACTTTTTTATGTTTCTATAAAATATATTGTCATAGTTTTATGAAGAAAATTTATGATTTTTATTCTTGTTTAACCATCCGTATCATGCGATACTTGTGGAGGTAGGGGTGTTTGGTAAATAGCTGTTAGCTTATAGCATTGGATTAATGTGTTTAACTAGTTGAAAGCATTAGTTGATTGTTGAAAAGTGTTTGATAATTTAGTTGTTAACTGATAGCTGATTACATGAAAAATGACTTTCTCGAAAAGGTGATCGAAAAAACTGCTTTGAGTAGCTTTTTGAATTTTGACATTTTGAAACAATAAACTGTTACAAAAAACTAATTAATCAAACAGTCATATTGATTGTTTAACCAAATCAAACAACTAACCGTGGTCAAATAAGCTAAGTATGTACCAAAGAGGGTGTAGTCTCTTTTTAGAAACCAATTCAATTGTTAATTAATAAATAGAGTGTTGACCTACTAAACCGGTAATTAGTGGAGGTGGAATATATTGTTTAATTTAGGTTGTCCGTACAAATTAATACGCCGCATTTTAGAGTATAGTGGCATGCATGCTGGGATTCAGCTGTAAAGTTTTTGGTTTAACTTATAAGGATGCTTTTTTACCTGTATTTCTTTTACTTAATATGATTGTTAGAACAATCGACTATAAATTATTGTATCTAATAACATGCATGATCAATGATAAATATTTCCAACTATATAATTAATTGTTTGAATAACTTTTAAATATAAAAATGGAATTATCTATTAGTAAATCTCAAGACCTTATTCAAGATTTCAAGTTATAAACATCTTGAGACTAGAAATCATGAATTATGAGTTGAAACTTTGTTAAAAGATTACATAAATAAATACTTAATTGCATGACATAAACTCATACAAGATTTGTTATACTAAGGGTCTCTTTGGAAATTTAAAAATTGATTTTTGAAAGTCATTTTTTCAATTTTTTTTTTGTGTTTAGTTATTTAAAGAAAATATTCATTCTGATCAATGAAAAAAAAAAAGTTCAATTTAGTGAAGAAAATGTCTTCCTAAATTTTTAGTTGGAAAATATTTTGCATATTCTTTATTTCCTCGTCTCTTTTTTCTCTCATATCTTGATCTCTTCAATTCAAGCTAATTTCTGAATTATTATTATTATCACTACTACCACCACCACACTAACACCAAAACCTCCACTAGCACCACCACAACAAGCACGACTTATTATTATTATTATTATTATTATTATTATTATTATTATTATTATTATTATTATTATAACAAATAATATGTTCAATTTTTTGGAAAATGATGAAACAAATTAGACAAAAATGTAATTTCTAAACTTTCAGTCAAAAAGAAAAAGATAATTTTCTTATCTTCAACCAAACACAAAAAAATTAAAATATTTTTTAGAAAATAATTCATTTTCTGGAGAAAAAAAAATCCACCATGAACAGACACTAAATTTGTTTCTGGTGCCAAAAATAGGAAACTTCTTAATTATTTTTGAAGAGTCTGTTGGGAAAAATGCAACGTCAACGCGTGATCTGGAAGCCTTTTAAGAAGCACGGACACTACTGGTGTATGGTTGGAAGAAAATTTGTGTCGTGTTATAATAACACTACCTTAAAAGCGTTATTTGCCCGGTAACGGTGCAGTTAGCGCCCTGACACGCTTTCGACAGGCTACACAGACCTACTACGAATAGCTTGCACTAGCAATCACGTAGGCGGACCTGACTATATATGCTCATACTAGAGGGTATGTATGAAATGAAGAAAGCAAAGAAGGAAACTTCCTTTTGAGTGCACTGTTCAATAGTGAAGGATGCACTATTTATAGTCATGAAGCTCTAATCATGACCATACACACTCACACTAGAAGTGGAAGTTTCATTCCCATGTCCATGCAAAATGTGTGGACAAGAAACATGCAGACCCAAGAAAATAGGACTAGAAATGTGGCTTCTAGTTTGACCGTATTTTCCCAACAATCCCCCACACGTTCAAAGTATAAGGCTAGAAAGGATAATATCTGAGCAATACAATCGAGTTGATCTTAATGCCAGTGTTTGAGAACTTGAACTGACACGTAGTGACATCGAGTAATTTTCTTCTCAAGAGTGTTGTGAATCTTGAACTCACCGGTTAGATAAATTTTGAACTCGAATACACACACCAACTCAAAAGGCAGGTCCTACAAAAGTCAAACTCTTTGACTTCTTATGAACACCCTTAGTATTAAAGAATGTTACGTCTGTCTCAAATATAGACTTCTACCCTGTCAAAGTCTATCACAACATAGACTTTTAACTCTGACAAGTCTTACCGCATTACAGATTTTTATGTCTTATCAAGTCTATCTCAATATAGACTTTAACTCTATCAAGTCTAACTTAGTATAGACTACCACTGAAGGCTTATAGAGTAGTTAAAAACATAAATCAGTTGTAAGTCTTTTCTATCATACTCATTGTTATATGCAACGCAAACGACAGTTTGTGTATCACAATGTGGTGGAGGTGTTGGACACCCCCACAACTGCACTGTTATCACCATGTTTCTTAGCCACTCAGCTTCTTGAGATAACTCCATTATCTTTCATAAGAGGCGGTTAGCCATTTTCTACTCAAGTTAGGGATCTCTTTAGGTCTACCTCAACATAGACCATCCCAATTGAGTATAAGGCACCAGGGGCACTTTGTACTCATGTCATTATGCAGTGAATTCATTAGGTTTGTCTCAAAAAAATCACCCTTTCTCAAAGAGTTATGAATTCATTAAGAGCTGTAGCTCAACCTCACAAGTACACACTCACTGTCGGAATGACCAACTAGTTACTATTTTGTAACTCTTTTCATGGCTTCGTTTGACCACAGAAGTGGGATCCACCACGAATTCATTACCATGAATTCATTACCACTTGGACTTTAAGTCCTTCCAATGAGTCAGCGACTAATCCTCATAATTAGCCCTCAAGTAAGTTTATTCTCTTGATCAAACTTACATGCACTTTGACGAGTACTTCGTTTACTTGTCAATAATCCCTTGAGATTTTCATGTTTAACATGAAACATTCTCTTTCATCATTATTCTCAATACCACAGAGAAACTTTTGATGAAAATACA